CACTGACCATAAACAGGATGTCAATGACTTGCAGAGAATGTCACTTGTAACCACTGGTTGCGATTCCTTTCACCTTTTCTGTGAAACAAATGCACTGACCAACCATAGCACATCAACAGAGACCTAGCTACTTGTCCCACGGGACATGTTGACCACCATGCCTTAGAAGAAGCATTGGCCAAGCTACCTGAGAACCCCTCACCAGCACTGACAGTGATGGATGGATGGAGGCCACGCCATGCTCTCAGTGTGACTTTAGTGGTTGCTGAAAATCACGCTGAGAGTGACTGCAGATGGAAGAGGTAGAAACACCCTAAGGCACTAGCCATCAGAGGACTGCTGAAAACCAAGCCCCTGACAGGAATTGACTCTATGGTTTTGGTTGTGAGAAACATCCCAGGAAAACATAGGGAAGAGCAGCAGCAGACTGGTTTATGGGCTGCACCGGCCCTCGGAGCTGAAAAAGCTGCAGCAAAACAGCTAGTCCTGTGACCATATGCCCACCTTCTTGGACAGGTTGGTAGCTGCCATGGGACAGACAGGCCCTGCATCCTCTGGGGATACTGGAGAGTCACACCCACCAACACCCCAATGCCCCTGCCATTGGCCCTCAAGATCGAAAACAGAGCAAGAGGAGAATGCTGATTCTTGACTCAAGTCCAGATGCCTCGTCCTCACAAGGAGACAGGGCAATGCCAGGAGGCACCCAGTCGGTGATGGGACCTCACACAGGCTCTCTGCAGATTCCATTCAGGCCATTGCAGAGAAGGTCAGGCCCTCCACCTTCATCATGGTCTGACAGATGGGCATCAGGTGGATGGGCTCTGGTGGGCAGCCTGATTCATGCCATAGACTGGTTACCTATTCCTGTGCTGTATCTGAACTAGATGTAGCCATACAGTGTTGGTTGTTGGTATGCCCTGCTAAAGATGTTTGGGCTTGCAGAGTGCAGTGCCAGTGCTTTGGAGAGATGCCAGGGTGATGGCATTGGCTCCCTGAAGGCCATGAGTCAGTGACCGTATTGGATGGGTGCATGCAACTGGTGCTCATAGATCTTGCCCTCCTTTCCAGTTTGGCCATGGGAAAGGAGGAGGTTTCCCAGAGGAGGCTGTGAACCAAATCCACTCTGGTTTCCATGCTAGGTTTTCCTGATAGTATGAACTGCAGATGCTGGAGAATCTGAGATAACAAGGTGTAGAGCTGGATGAACACAGCAGGCCAAGCAGCATCAGAGGAGCAGGAAGGCTGATGTTTCGGGCCTAGACCCTTCTTCAGAAAATTCAGAAAAGGTTTTCCTGATGGTTAGTTTGTTTGGCAAGTTTAGCGAGAACACAAACTGAATATTAATGAGATGATTTGAGCATCAAAGACTTTAACAAGTGGTAATTGCCATCACTTGGCAACTCTTTGCTGACCAGCAAGAGTCTTACAACACTGCATGTGAAATGTGCAAAAGATAGAGCAAGATGATCTCGATGTTGAGAATAGACATTGTTGGAATTCATTCCTGGTTCCACCAAACATCTCACCCACATCGCTCAGATCCTTATAAGATTATGCCTATTGTTTCTAATAGTAACAATGATTATAAACCCTTTTATTGCTGAAAATATGAATCTCACCATGTTCTATTTAGTTGCAGCAGCACTATCGGTTTGGAAGCAATTGTATGAACTTACATTGGAAAATTTTATTCCATCATGTCTAGCATATTTCTGTCTCTTTGAACAATGTTAGCTTTGTCATTTCCTCTTTGATACTGCTTGTCATATTTTGACATCCCTTGTATGCCCATTCATCAAGCATAGTGTGATTAACGCTTCTGCTGACTTTAGCCATAGGTATGACTTTATACAATTACATTTCACAATTATTGTTTATTTTTGTTGACCATATTCCTTAAGTGTGGGATTAAGAGGAACACTCCTGCTCTATTTTCAGGGATAAAAATTTGAAAAAAAATCACTGCCTTGTGGTGGCACATGTGCCAAAGTCCAGGTTTACTGAATACAGCCAACAATGATGCCACTGCCTCAGATCACACCAATCTGCTTCAGACTTCAAACAGGCATTAGGCCCCTCTTTTCGTACTGATATGGCAGGCAGCAAACGGCCTGTTGATCAAAATGACCATATTCCCTGTCTGCAACACTGGCAGTTGAGCTGTTGGTGCATTTAAACAGGCAATATGTTGTCAAATTTAAAGGGCAATATGTAAAGACAGGAATTGTTTTAAATTTACAATGTGTGTCTGTTAAAGTAGCAAATAAAGCCACTTTGGCAGAATATTTTAAGATTCTGACATTCATATCATTCAGAAAAATATGAATTATTGGATGCTATAAGCTCCAATACAAGTTGACAATTCAATATCTAATTCAGCTAGTCAGATATTCTATTGTTGGTAGACTGCTTGACTCATACAGAATCAAGATCAGTAGCTCAGTTACTAGGGATTGAATCCTCATTGGTTTCACCTTGACCATGATGGCTCCCTGTTCAACCCTACCCCATCCACACCCTTCCTCACAAGGGACCTCAAAATGAAGAGCATTCCATTGTATTTCAGAGATAAGATCAATGGACTATGAAACAGCATGTCATTGTTGACAGCTGTGTACACTAAGGACTCTCAAGAGTTGACTTTGGTCAAAATCTTGTTTGGTGTTGGTCATTTGGATGCAAGTTGGGAAGATCATTTGTATTTCATTTCAGATAAGAAGGTGCTGGGATTCCTCATTAATTTGGTGCAGAAACCTTTCAACAATGTGATTCTTTTCCCTATATGTTAACTGTCCAGCCATCCATAACCTTTATTGATCAGCTGCTATCTCATCTTCAATTGGCACTTCGTTGAATGCAGCAGCAAATTGTAAGGAGGCTGCAGAAGTGCAGAAAAAAAAGTGGTAAATTCAAGTGTAGTCCAATCAAATAAAGCATTGCCCATAAAGACAACATTAAGAAACTAAACATCACAAAGTTTAAATAACCTAAATGCTTCCCACCACAATCATCACACTTGAAATAGAACAGAAGAACACTAAACTACTTTGAAACTGATATTCTCAGCAAGCACACCATTTTGTATGCAAGATTAAGGTTATAAATACATCCTCGGTCAAGAGCGTAAAATCAATTGTAGGCATTATTTAGTTCTGTCACCCTTTGAAAATGACAATGATGAAACCCTTAAAAGAGACATGACTCCTTTTGCTACTTTAAAATATTTCTAGCACTGCTACTATATTGTTGTATTGTTATATTATTTGTGAAGAGCTAGAAACCAATTTTTATGTCCAAATATTTCAGGGTGCCACATTCACTGCTGCACTGCAGTCATGTGCTGAATAACAATCAATCTGTTTGCAGTCCATCAGCCACATGGAGAGGTGAAAGAAATGCGGCAAATGAAGTTCCAGAATTTTGAGTGTAACTTGTTTATTTTTAACTTATAAGAACTGGTAGGTGGAGCAATTAGATTCTGTTAACATTTGTTTCTTCCTATTTCTCTTTTTTAAACATGAAAATTGTTTACTACTTTTATCCAACTCGACATGGGAAGTTCTTTCTATCATTTTGTTCTTACCAAACAAGATACTCTCACAAATTCTGAGAAGTGGGTCAACAACATGCAGAAATCAAAACATAGGGATAAAACTCTACGATTCCAAAGGAGGTGCCACAGTTTGAGTAGTTGAAGTCTGAATCAGTTCCCATTTGAATCCTCTTGTGAAGTCCAATTGCGGTAAAGAATTGCACAGATGTTGACTTCCACTGCCTTGGATTGATTGTGGGGAGATTGAGGAGCCTCCTTATTAATCTACAAAGATGTGATCCCAAAGTTCCAGCAGGGAAGAGGGGATGTAAATGCAGGAAGGACATTCCTACCCTTTAGAATTAACCATAACTTCATTCAAAGAGAAGAAATTGAATGAAGCTGAGTCATTCATCAATTTATGGCCTCTCTTGCTCCATTTCTGCCTCCGATACACACTTAGAACATAAAATTGTCAAATATTTTCTGCCATATTTAAGGGAGTGCATTTAAGGGAGTGAAGTTCAAATATTTTGTACTTCGCTGGGAATGTGACTGTTATTGGAGCAGTTCCAAGTTTTTATCAGAATCAAGAAAAGATAAAAACAAAGTTAGAGAGAGGCAAGGAACAGCACGGAATCTAAGCCAACAGGTAGCCAGTAATCAAATTAAAAAACATGATGGGAATTAGTTCAAAAGCTCCAGCAATACGGTCCATAATGAAATACATTCTATGAAGATCAGTAGGCACCCAAGCTTTTATTGTCTGCATCCATCCATGGATTAGACATGGATATTTGGTAATGAACACTGGGACACACTGCATAGGATCCTAAACATAACCAGTTTGAGTCATGCAAGAACAGCTACCATCAAACTATACCAAAAGATTACCTCCTCCAGCAAAACTTTTGTCTCCATCTCCCTGAAGGCAAATATAGAAGCTAGCTGCCATTGCAGTCATGGTGCTATCTACACATAACATATTTGTTACCTTTCTCCTGCACAAAGAAGCAGCAGCATCAGCAAGTGCAACTATTATCACCTTACTGCTGCATATTCCCAAAGTAGAGAGATTATTATTGACAGTTTTGTGACGATTTTGAAGCCCTGCATTTATTTCAGTATGAAACCATGAACCATGTAAATGAGCTGTGGTACAAAGCTGTTTGCAGTCTTTTGGAGTACGTGGATGGAGTACATGGAATTGCATGTCAAATCTTGAATGTCTCCTGTTGGTCTATGGCTTGAAGAAGAAAAGAATAATCAGCCTGCTCTCTGAAACATAACATGCTGTGTGCTCAGTATTGTTCTCAAGTGCTTAGCCTGTGCATAGGGCTGACCAGACCAATTTACGCAAGGATGTGACTATGACCATTATAACCACAACATGTCTGATTAACACTTCCAAATTTAACTAAAGAAACAGTGAAGGCAGAAATGAGACAAGGAGAAAAAATCTGAGTCAAATTTTGATTCCGTTTTATTCTTTCAGGCATGTCATTACTTCTATGCTACATTTACAACATAAGAACACGCAACACTCATTTTTGGCTCAGATGTACATCTCTCTTCTCTCGTTTTGGCTGAAATAGTCATTTTTGTTACTTTGTCTTTTCAACTGAAATTTGTTAATTATGTTGTAAAATACATACTCTCGATTGAAATGTTCAACAAATACAGCCATGCAATTTAAAAGGTGGGAGGACAGTCTATCCATTTTTCTGATTTGTTCATCAGCACAAAGGCCGTTGGATTGTAGAAAGCAACTAATACAATGTTAAAATGCAACTGTGACCACTTAAACAGCAGGATTACAGAATCATCACTGAAACATGAACAAGAGTGCAAGAAACTAATATATGATGGATCTCGAGTGCAAGAATAACCGCAATCAGCTGTGCCTTGATAACATAGATACTGCAAGCAATTGGCTTTATGCCTTCAGTCTTTTTCACAAATGGATGTTTCAACCACAAATACATTTACAAAGTGTCTTATACGCTGGCAGCTCTTGATGTCACGCTTTTCAATAGCTGAAACAGAAAGTGAAATAATAATTGGTACATGCTTTAAATGCGCATAGATGACCACTGCTCAATTTGAAAAGGAAAACTTTCATTTTTGAACATTAATTTTACATAATCCTCATCCATTTTCATACCTACTGTCAGCACTCAAGTGAAGCAGAGTTACTTGGCAGGCATTAATTAGAACAGGGAATATACATACGATTCACTCCCTACTTGAAATTCTTACATTCTCTCCACATATTTATGTTTCCATAGTGAATTTAAATGACAACATTTATAATGGGAACTACCTGTGGAAAGTTTTACATTGTAATTATATCCTCAGTTTAACAAGGTTACATGGTTATTTTTCATCATAAGTATGGATGTAGAAATTTATGAAGGAGAGTTACCAAAAGTGCATATTGCTGAAATATTTTTGATGTAGAGATTATATTGCTGCCATGATTTTGTTCTCAATGAGCAATCATATTGTGTTACCATAGTAAGAAATGATGCCCTTTTAAAGATACAATTTTGTTATTCTACATCTGTGTGTGTATATGTTCAAGATGTAGAGCTGGATGAACACAGCAGGCCAAGCAGCATCAGAGGAGCAGGAAGGCTGACGTTTCGGGCCTAGACCCTTCTTCAGCCTTCCTG